TAGATATGTCATTGGAAAAGAGGTCCCCACAGCACCCCTAAAATGGTCTTAAGGGTGCTTCCCCAAAGTCTACAGACCACATGTTGAGAAATGGCATTCTGCCAGGCGCGGTGGCTCAAGCCTGTAATCCCAGCACTTTGGGAGGCCGAGGCGGGTGGATCACGAGGTCAAGAGATCGAGACCCTCCTGGTCAACATGGTGAAACCCCGTCTCTACTAAAAATACAAAAAATTAGCTGGGCATGGTGGCGCGTGCCTGTAATCCCAGCTACTCAGGAGGCTGAGGCAGGAGAATTGCCTGAACCCAGGAGGCGGAGGTTGCGGTGAACCGAGATCGCGCCATTGCACTCCAGCCTGGGTAATAAGAGCGAAACTCCGTCTAAAAAAAAAAAAAGAGAGAGAGAAATGGCATTCTAACCACCCTGTGTGAATCTCTACTCACTTTTTGGAAACACGCACCTCTATTCCCAAGCCCATCATCTCTCCCCATTGCAATATCCATCTCTTCCCTGGTTATCCAAGCTCCAGTCATGGAGGGCCCGTTACTTTGAGATGCTGTGTGCTGCTCTGTGCTGGGTCCGGCAGCTCAGTAGGGAGCTGGGAGTGACTCAGCCACACTCTCCGAGTGTTGCTCCCCACCAGCAGTGACTCAGACACACCTGCTGGTGTTCCCAGACGTCCTGATGAGGAACTGTCCACAGGCACACTTCCTAGAGGTGGCACTGTTAGATCTATCATGAGGAAAATGGGATCGTCCTCAATGCCTCGTGCTTTTTAGGATGGACCAGCCCCTCCAACAGTAGTGCAGTGCACAGGAGGGGCTGCAGAGACCACACCCGGATCTGATTCTTCCACTTCCCTGGCACATGCAGCAGGCTCCCGGTGCCTCCTCCCATTCTGTGTCTTCCTGAGAGCGAGGGCAGGCCATGGGTGCAGAGTCAGAGAGGAGCCTGTTCCCAGGGCTGTGGCCCAGGCTGCAGCCTCCTGAGACACCTGAGGATCTGGTGAACTCTTCTCCCTCAGACCCAGCCCCTCGGGTAGTCCCAGCAGCTGGTGACACCATCTTCCCCAAGAAGCTGGCTTGGGGAGAGGGCATGGAGAGGACATCAAGGAGGCAGGAAGCGGCCCAAGGTCCTCAGGACTATGAAGTGCCCTCAGTTAGCACAAGCATCCTGTGGCCCTAGGTGGGGTCGAAATAAAGCAATAAAGCAATAGTGTGTGCCATGGCCTTTGGCCAGCCTCTCTCTGGCTTTCCCTGTTGCAGCCCTGAGACCTTGGGGAGCCCCACCCAGCTGGAATTCACAGGACGGGCCGCGTTGGCGTGACTCACAGTGACCCTGAGCTGCCTTTCTGGGAGACCCTCCTCCTTCCCTCCCCATCCTGCGTCTGCACTCCTTTTCCCCTCCCAAGCAACAACCTCAGGAACCCAGACAGCACTCCAGAGAGGCGGAGCCACAGTCAGCAGCTGGGCGCCCAGGGGGATGGCACGGGAAATAACGGGAGCGTGGGCTCCAGAGAGGACATTTGGCATCGTCACAGACCTGCCCAGCCTCCTGGGTTGGCATCTGGGATTTTCTTGCTCCTTCCAGGGACAGTCTAACCTGGCTTGGAGATGTAGGGGGTCCAGGAAGATGGGGCAGGGCCAGTAGGAATGCAAGAAACCCAGGCAGTCATCTAGTCCAGAGCTTTCAAGCTTCTCTTTGGAAGAGAGCTGCATTCGTCTGTCTGTCTGTCTGTCTGTCTGTCTGTAACCAGGAGCTGCTCTGTAAGAGCTGCGGCCCCTAGCCCTCCTGGCTCCTGTCACCTCCCTCTCGTTCACCCCAGCCCCCGACCCTCAGCCCCAAGATCTTGGAACACACTTTAACAATCACTAGTGCAGTTCATCTGCCCATTTCACAGATGGGGAAATGGATCCTAAGAGGGAAGTCTCTTGCCACAGACTTATAGTGAATTGGGGCTGGTCAGGGCCTAAAACCCAGTGCTATTTCCCAGGGTCATTCACCGACAGACAGCAGGGACAGCCGTAATGGGGAGACCACTAGGTGCCAGGGGTGCTCACAGAGGAGAAGGGTGCCCAGGAGCGAGACAGGGAGGGGCAGAGGCTGGCATTGTCACCAACCACAGAGGAGCAGCCCAGCCTGCTCGACAGACTGTAAAAGAAAAATAACTCCATGCCTCTGGCCTCCTCCGCGTGGCCTCCAGTCCAGCCTCTGACGATGGGAATAACCACCTTTCTGTTTCCACCTGGTCTGCCCTCCTTCCCCAGCTCCCTGTCCCCAGGAAGGGGAGTCTCAAGCTACAGACAGGGTCTGGCTGGCAAGCCGGGCACTAAGCCACAGCCCGTTTAACCACTCAGGCCCTCTGAGACTGCAGAACACAAGCCCTTTGACTTTCAGCGTTCCTGTGTCCCCAGCCTCCTTGCGCCCGCGGAGGGCAGGGCTGTGATTTTGCACATTAGTGGGTGATAGTTTGCGTCCTGGGGTCTCTCGTGTCCACACAGTTCCAACACACCCTCCTGACCATGAGGCCAGCCTGGACTCTGTGTGCCCAGGTCCCTGCCCAGCCCCTGATTCCCGCATTTTTCTAGGGAGAGAGCTCATAGATTTTGACACATTCTCAAATGGGTCTGTGGTCCAGGAGACTGAGAACCCGTGCAGAAGGTGAGGATGGGCCTTCCAGGGAAGAGGGGTAAGAAATGAAGTAGAAAGGGCACTACGGCTTCTTCTCTTCCCTGCCAGAGACTTTACATGTATTGCTTGGTCTTGTTTCCCTTACCTCCTTGTGATGCTGGGGTCACTGTCCCCATTTCGCAGATGATGAAACTGAGGCTCAGCAATGTCAGGTTGCTTGCTTCAGGACACAGCCCTGGCTGAGGGGTTGAAAAAGCCAGGGCAGGGCCAGAGGTCGAAGGCGAGTATTGCGCCTGCTTCTACAAAGGTGTGCAGCTCTAGAACCTGCAGCAGCCAGTGCTTCAGAAGCCTCCCACGACTGCATCCATGCCAGACCTTGAGCCCCCAGGTCTTGATTCCCAGCAACCCTGGCACAGGTCCTGGCTGTCTGCCTCCAAGGTTAATTCCTGCCACGTGGAAAACACAGTCCTCACAAATGGTCTCTTGTGTCCTCATTGAAGCATGAATGAAGCTATAATGAGGGTGGGGGCAGAGTACCCCCTCACCACTGCAGGTAGGACCCAGCTGGCAGGTGGGCTCCAAGGGGCTCCCCCCAGGAAGCTCCTCCCACCCCCGGGCATGACACTCAGTCCCTCCAGAGCCCCCAGCAAAGACTCTTTATTTGCTTGTAGCAATGTCAGCTGCCAGACCACAGAGCCCGCCCGTCCCTGCCCTCCATCTGCCCAGCTCACCCACCCTCTCACCATCCCTTAGCGGATAAAAGCAGTGTGATCTGCAGAACAGGCCCAAGGCTGAGGCCGCGCCCCGCCCCCATCCTTCCTGAAATTCCGACAGCACAGAAGGCGTGGGCCTTGGTGTCTCCATCTGTAGACAGTGTATGATGATGTCCAGCCTGCTTGCCTTCCAGGGATTTCTAAGAATCACGTGGGGGAAGTTATTTTAAAAGTTTAGACTACAAACAAAATGACAAAGAGGAAACTCAGCTGGTCACCCACATATTCCCTGCCCAGATGTCCCATCCCCAGGGTGCTAGACCCTAGCCATCTGGGCTGGGAGCCTTTCTCCTCTGGGCTGTGCTGGGGCAGCTGTGGGAGTCCCCAGAGTGAGGACAGCCTGCAGTGGGTTGGCCTGCTTTGCCCCCCTACCCAGGGATGCCTCTTGTTCCCCAGGATGGTCTGAGGACAGTCCCCAGATGGGAATGTCATCATTGCCTGGTCTATGCAAGGCACCAAACTGGGGGCAGGGACCGCACTGCAGATCATATCCAAGGATGGCAGAAATCGGAGGGCGTGCCCTTGAGGAAAGGGAGCAGCTGTACCCACCCCTTTCACATGGAGTGGCAGGAAGCCCAGTCCCCACCCCAGTGCAGGTACATGACATCTTCCTTCTCCAAAGCAGATCACCCCATTTTAAGCTCAGGGGTCTCATGACCTACTTTAGAGGAAGGTCACAGGATTCTTCAGGGGAGAACAGCACTCAGAGAGACTTTCCTGTGTCCGCTGCCTCCTCAGGTGTGAGGGTGCCATATTCTGGGGTGGCGTTTTCTGAGCCTCCAAACCCGATCCCTCCCTCAGACCCAAGGAAGCTCTGCTCCAGCGGTTTCTGCTGCGGCCCTGCTACACACGGTGGCAGCTGCCTCCCATCAGAGAGGGAGGACTCCACTCAGTAACTTTCTCAGGGAGTCCTGGTGGCGTTTCCCTCTGGGTGCCTGGCAGGCTCTCCTTAGAATCCCACCACTCAGAAACCCCCAAGGCAAAAGAACACGGGCTGCATCAGCTACAGAAGGAGCAGTAAAAATAACATCAGAAGCAGGAAGGAAACACAAATAAATATCAATAAACCATCCTGTCATAAGGCAGTTTTGGGCCGGGCGCAGTGGCTCACACCTGTAATCTCAGCACTTTGGGAGGCTGAGGCAGGTGGATCACCTCAGGTCAAGAGTTCAAGACCGGCCTGGCCAACATGGTGAAACCCTGTCTTTAAAAATCATGAAATTTATAAAACAAGGCAGATTTGCCAATTCCAAATTTTGCCATGATGGAGAAGCAGCTGCTCACACCACAGTAGGCCACCCTCGGCTTCCTCCTCTAGAAACCCAGAGAGACTAAGGTCAGGGGCTGTGCTAGGAGAGGGCCACAAGTGAGGGCCTGCAGAAACTGCGGAGCCTGCAGAAGCCAGTCCACCCTCTTCCTCAGCTCGGAGGTCAGGACAAACAGGCAGGGCCTGTCCCGACCCGAGGGAAGTTCTGCAGACATTCCTGCTGGGGCTCTGCAAGGCAGTCACTCCAGTGGCCTGTGCCTACTTCTGAGGATGCTGGGCAAGCTGGGTGGGACAGCCAGCCCTGACCTCTGGGCATCCTTTGCTCTTGCAGGACCTGGGCATGGAGTCGACCTCGCTGGATGACGTTCTGTATCGCTACGCCAGCTTCCGGAACCTGGTGGACCCCATCACACACGACCTCATCATCAGCCTGGCACGCTACATCCACTGTCCCAAGCCGGTAAGGCGGCTGTGGTCCAAGCCAGCCAGGTCCCGGGGTGTGCCGTGGGTGCCTTCCTGGGCAAAGCAGCTCTGTGGCCAAGGAGGACTGGCAGACATTGCCCAGGCCCAAGGAGGATAAGCCAATCCTTCAGGCACCAAGAGCCTGAGGTGCTCTCCCTTGGTGCCACCACACAGATTGGTTTTGTTTGGCCCAGGGGGGTGAATTCACTGCCAACGCTTAAAAACCAGAGTTTTTCACTGATCCCTTTATTCAGCTGCCCTTGAAAAACTGAAGTTCCAGCAAATTGAAGCCCTTATTTCTGCAGGGCTGCAGCTAAGTAGCCATCCCTGTTATATGGGTCAAGGCCACCACATACAGTTGTACAGCTTGTACCTTGTACAAAAACATGCATACAGAGAGGTGGCGGGGTCGGGGGAGGCAGGGGAAAGTTCAAATCCAGCCCTCTCTCTACCCACCAAGTCGTGAGCCCTGGTGCAAGCCTGTGTCCCCTGGAGGTAAACCTATTTGCACAAAGGTGTCATAGAAGGCTGGCCATGGCTCTGCAAGGGGATGTCCACTTTGCCTCAGTCCCCACCACTCCCAAATGTCTTCACCTCTGAGGCTGAGTGTTCTTTGATATCCTCCCCTTCACTCATGTCCTTTTCCTGCCTTGCCCTGGAGCTCAGAAGGGAAAGCTCCATGGCTCTCCAGGCTCTCGATCTGCAGCTGAGCCCCTCCTGGATGGGAGGTTCTGCCCTGTTCCTGCAGCTTAGGTCTAGGTTTCCCCAGGGCTATGCAGCTGGACCTGTCGGGGAGGAGAGGGCTGGGCAGGGCCATTTCCACACTTGAGTGCTTCTCTGTTGCTTTGGTTTTTTCTGTCTCGTCCCTCGATTTCCAGTGGCTTCCAAAAGAAGTGCTTCCCCCCTGGCAATCAGGAAACCAGAGCAGGACCAAGGGGTGCGGGGCGGGGGGAAGCTTTTCCTTTTGATGTAGGATCTGGGCCAAGAGTAAGATGGTTCCCAAGCCCAACCCTCGCTCGGCCCGGGCACAGATTTGACTGTGGTCCTACAGTGAGCTGGAGCCTTGCTCTGGAAAGGCATTTCCTGGGGCTGAGCTCCATCTGCGCTTTGTTGAGGGCCTTCTCTCTGACTCTGGACTACTTGGTGCAAAGGCTCTGAGGTGGGGCTCAGCCGCGGACGGCTGGGAGCTGGCCAGGGCCAGATCGCAGCACTGCAGAAGGCAGGGATGCCGGGCCCAACGGGAGGGGAAGGAAAGCTGGTGATGACGGAGCCTCGAGGCCTGATTGGTGCCAGGAGCTATGGGGAGCTGGCTGGGGCCGACGCCTCCGATGCTTCTCATTCAGTTCCACCTGGTTCTGCCGGGGGAGAGGGGAAGGGACAGGACTCAGGCCTGCGAGGAGGCCTTGCGGGTGCCAGACCCTGCCCTTCCTAGAGCAGGAATCGAGTCGCTCACAGATGAGAGGGTGAAAGGTGATGGGGCTCTCAAAAAAAAACAAAAAAGAAATGGGGCTATATTTATGCACACCTTTGAGTTCAGGAAAACAAAATTCTGGTAATCCAGTGATCTGAGCAAGGTCACACCTCAGAGGAGAACCACAGGTGTGACTTAGGCCCATGCAGTAACCCAGAGCTGGGCGGGACACAGGCCGGCGTTCCCTGAGTCATCAGTGCCCACGGGGGCAGAGGAGGGGCCTGGTGGGAGCAGCTGAGATCCCAGCCTTCCCCACCTGCCCCCTCACAGACCCTCAAGGAGGGTCTGTGTGGGGAGAAGGACCCACCCACTCAGAGAGAGAGGCAGGCCAGGGAGTGGGTGCAGGCCATGGTCAGACCCCGTGAGACAGGGCCAGGCAAGGCCAGGAGGAAGACCGGGACCTCCTTCCCTCTGATCTTTCCTTTCCGTCTGGGTAGGGGCAGGGTGGGGGCAGTGCATACCTGGGTTGTCATGGTCCATCCAGGTGACTGTAACAAATTATCATAGACTGGGAGGCTTATAAACTAGAAATTTTTCTCACACACTTGTGAAGGCGGGAAGTCTGAGATCTGGGTGCCAGCCCAGTTGGTGACTGGCGAGGACCTTTTTCTGGGATGCAGATGATTACCTTCTTGTGTCCTCACATGGCAGAAAATGGGCATTGTGAGAGCTCCGCCCCCACCCATCACCTCACACAGGCCCCACCTCTGAATACCATCACTGGGGGATTAGGTTTCAACACACGAATTTCGGGAAATACAAACTTTCAGCCCATTGCATGGTGTAACCCTTCTCAAACCACTTAATTACCTCAACTTTGTTTTCCTCAAAACAGAGCCAGGACCAGCCAGAGTGGGTCAGCCCTGCTGAAGCCCAGAGACCTGGACGGCCCCTTTCGTGCCCATGTGGCAAGTGAGGCTCTCCGGATGAGGCAGGGTGGGAGGTCCCCAAGCTGGTCAGAGGAGAAGCCCCTCTCCATCCATCCCAGCTCTCTGAACTGGCTCAGGGCTGACCAAGACGTCCTGCTCAGAGCAATTTGCATCTGAGAAGTTCCTATCAGCCCACGTTATGGGTCTAGAGATTGAAAATCCTTCAGTGAGGGGCTGTGCTGTAGTTTAAATAAAACCCAGACTCCTCATCTGGCTTTGCCTGCATTTCTGAGCTCCCCTCTCCCACTTGCTGCCCTCCGGGCTCTGCTCTAGAATGTGGACCTCCCTCCCATCTGCTTCTGACACCTCCACACCCTCTCCTACCTTAGGGACTTCACTGCTCCCTCTGACTGCTCCAGCCTCCTCTGTCTGAGCTTCCTTCTGCTGAGTTCAAACGGAGCCTCCAGCCTCTAAGAGGCCTTTGTTGACAAGCCTGCCTAAGGTCGGCTCCTGGTCAGCCTGTCTTGAGCCCCCATTAATGTTTCCATTCATTTCTCCATTTTACTTACTGGTCTCTGAAATTAGCTTGCTTATTTATTTGTTGGCTAATTTATTGTCTGTTTTCCCCACTCGAATATACACTCTGAAGGGAAGGGTGTCTGTCTTGTCCACAATTCCACCCTGCACCAGGCAGGAAGCAGGCGACATGTTCCCTTGTGAAGTCTGAAGGGCGTTTAGTAAAGGGTTGAGGACAGGATAAAGGAAGTCAACAAGGGGTGTTGGGACATCCAAAGACAGCCATGCTGGGAAGCCGTTTCACAGGAGGGCAAGCCGTACTGCCAGAGGCAGGGTGAGAACCCGTGGCCTGGAACCACGCTGCCTTATCCTTTGCCGTATATCAAATTACCAGAACTTAGTGGCTTAAAACAACAGACGTTTCTTGTTATACTCTCTGTCGTCAGGATTGCAGGGGTAGCTGAGCTAGGTAGTTCAGCTCTGGGTCTCTCAAGACATGGGTCGGGCTGCAAGTATCAGAAGGCTTAACAGAAGTTGGCAGGTCCACTTCCAAGCAAGGCGGCACACTCGCCCCATAGCCTGTCCTCGGGACGGCTTGAGTGTCCTCGCACCATGGCAGCTGGCCTTTCCCACAACAGGTGATCATATAGAAGCCATAATGCCTTTGTTTTTTTCTTCTCTTTTTCTTTCTTTCTTTCTTTTTTTTTTTTTTTTTTTTTTTTTTTGAGACAGAGTCTTGCTCTGTTATCCAGGCTGGAGCGAAATGGTGTCATCTCAGCTCACTGTAACCCCCACCTCCCAGGCTTAAGCCGTTCTCCTGCCTCAGCTTCCCAAGTAGCTGGGATTATAGGCGCCCACCACCACACCCGGCTACTTCTTTGTATTTTTAGTAGGGATGGGGTTTCACCATGTGGGCCAGTCTGGTCTCAAACTCCTGACCTCAGGTGAATGGAGGGCAGTGGAGAGCTGTGCTTGTCAGGTCCTAGAGCAGTTACAGAGGTGCCTGGGGAGTGAAGGTGGCAGGTGGTATCACTGCATGATGGCTGAGACAGAGCAGGCTCGGGTGGTGGGACCCCTCCCAGGTCAGCCTGCAGGTCCGCACGTTATCTTTCCTGACAGGTTAGTGAGAAGCCCCTCAAACACGTTCTGCCCCAGGACCTGGGCAGCCTCTCTGGGAAAGTCTGGAGAGGCTGCTGCCCCGGCCTGCACTCACAGTCACCTTGACTGTGCCACATCCCACTCCTGCCTTCTTCAGGGATGGGGGAGGGCTGCAGTGAGCTGATTCTGCACACAGCCCCTGAGCCTTCTGCACGGGCTTGTGCTGCACAGGTGGGCTGGCTCCAGCGAGAAAGAACGTGTGTCCTGCAGATACTGAGGGGTCTTGTGGGGCCACAGGCAGGCAAGTTAGACCAAGGCGCTAGAACTACAGATAAGCACGGTGCAGAGGCCCTCCATCCCTCCTCCCTGCTCCACGCTGCCTCCCTCTCCATTCCCTCTGCACTGACTGCTCTTCCCCGTGCCGCATGGTAGGGAATGTGGCTGGCTCTGGCTCCCAGGTGACTTCTCAGGGTTCCAGCTCCTGGGAGCTAGGGTATATGTGTCTCAGTGTCAAGTCCAGCTTCCAGAGAAAGGGCTAATTGGCTGCACTCTGTCAGCGCCCACTTCTGGACCAGTCCACGGCAGGGTCCGGTTGCATGGGGCCTGTGTGACAAATGGTGCCTGTTGTCACAGAGCTCTGGGCCAGGGTTTCATCAGGGCACTTGTCTGCTCTGCACCTGGGAGGCAGCTGGTTCTCAACATTGAAACCACTCAGGAAAGACAGTTCTTCCTCCTCCTCCTCCTCCTCCTCCTCTTCCTCCTCCTCCCTCCTCCTTCCTCCACTTTCTTCATCCCCTTCCTCCTCCTCCCCTTCCTCCTCCTCCTTCCTCCTAATCCCTTTTCTCCTCCTCCTCCTCCTCTCACTCCTCCTTCTCTCCTCCTCCTCCTTTCCCTCCTCCTCCTCATCTGCCTCCTCGTCTCCCTCCTCCTCTCCCTCCCCGCTTCCCCACCTTCTTACTCCGCCACTTCTGGGCCAGTCCTGCCTAGTCCTTTTCTCTGCAGGAGGGAGCCTTGGAGGAGATCTTGAAAAGTGGAAGACTTGAG